GTTATGGACAGCTTCATGGGCAGGTGAATGAGGAGTGTTCTGGGAGAGAGGGATGGGCTTTTATCTGATCCCCCAAAGGATCTTGACCTGGGAATAGGTGGGCAGTATACATGGAAGAGTTCTGTCAGTTTGCTCTCCCCTCAGCGCTTGGTGGTCATTTCTGTTCTGTGGGTGCTGAGGACTACAGGTCCTCTGGGTGGTGCCCATCTCTGACAAGTTCTGATTCTACAMGGTAATGAGTCAGGCCATTGAGTTGAGACCCAGCTGTGTGGCAAAAGTCTTGTGGGTGCCCCAGCCCAGCCTCCCCAGCGTGGCGCCGTGGCCTCCTTGGGTGAAAGGGTTCAGCTCTTTGAAACATGGTGAGYTGTTTCAGCCCTGCCAAGTGCCTTCCCTTAGGCCAGCTCTACTCCTTCAATCTCCAGGGAGGAGTAGGTAGGTAGCCTCTCTCCAAGAGTCTGGGAGTCTTTGGTCCCCACTGTCCCTTTCCCTTCTCCTGCTCCCCTCTCAGACACTGTCTCTGTGTGCAGATGACTGGATCCTGTCCTTTTGGATCCTTGTTTTTTGGGAACATGCTGCAGGTCCCAGCCCTTGCTGGGAGGGGAAGCTAGGGCTGTTTTTATATTCCTGGACCCCCGTGGGCTCCTTCCCTCTTCTCTTCAGGATGGTGAAAGCATGTTGGGTCACTTCTGAGTTTCCATCCCCAATGCCTCCTCCCATTTCAGACAATCAGACACCAGGAGAGTGGAGGGTTGTGGGGATCTGCTTTATTGATTTATTGGCAGTACTGGGGATTACACCCAGGGCCTTGCACTTGCTCTACCACTGAGCTGCATCACAGTCCTTTTTGTCCTTTATTTTGAAATAGGGTGTCATTAAATTGCTGAGGCTGGCCTTGGAATTTGGAATCCTCCTGCTTTGGTGCTCAAGTAGTGGAGATTATGGGCATGTGCAACCACGCTGGGTTTGCTGGATTTTCATTACTTCTTGGAACAGGTATGGGAAGCTAGGGGAGCGGTGGGAAATGGTCCCCAGATAGCAGAGCTCAGTGTTGGGAGAAGGCGACCTCGGGGTTACAAGCAGGGTCGGTGCGGCAGCCATCTGCAATGAGAGTTTGTGTCAGTGGCGGTCCCCCCCGCCCCCCAGCATCCCACCCAGCCCTGGACCCTCGCTGGCCTCCCAGGGCTCACCTGAGCTGCAGCAGAAGCCAGCGGCTGCGCACCGGCCCCCGCTCCCGCAGGGCTTCTGGCCAGAATGGCAGGGCGATGGCAGGTAGTTCTCCTCCTGGCAGCGCAGTGCCTCGGCTGTGCCCACRAAGCAGCCCAGCTCGTCCCCGCAGCAGATGCTGGGCCCGAAGCAGCGCCCTTTGCCACCGGGGCCACAGGGGAGGCACTGCAGGGAGGAAGGGGGATAGCAGGAATGGGGAGGCAACCAAGAAGGTGGGCACCCCCTGCAGGGTGCGAGAAGCAGATTCTGGGATTCAGGGATCAGGGAGTGCAGGCGGGTTCCATGGGGTGGCAGTCGCTAAGGGCACTGGTTGGCATGGACATTGGTCAGGACGCACAGGGGAAATCTGCCAGAGGCTCCAATATGCCTGGGACTGGAGGGTCATGCCTGTAGGTGGTCATGCCTGTAGGTGGTCCGGCCTCCAGGCCACACAGCATAGCCATGCAGCATAGCAGGAGGAGGGTTGGGTGGCTCACCTTGCGCACATCCAGCTCCAGTGTGGCCCTCTTGCCACCCAGGGGGCAGTTCTGGATGTAGCAGGCGGAGGTCAGAGCCAGGAGGCCCAGCAGGCAGCAGGCGAGGCTGAGGCTAGCCATGGTGGGGGCAAGCTGGGTAAGGGGATCCACAGCTGTTGGCAGTCTTCTCAAGCCTGGTCTTTTTATGCTTGGGCGCTGGACCTGCTTATCAGCTGTGTAAGAATGCAGTCGCATTACTGGTCACAGCAGGTCACTGTGGGTCAGGCTGTGTGTGCTCAGGGTGGATCCTCTCATTACCAGTCCGCCCCCCAGCATCAATGTCAGGCATTTGCTAATGAACTGAGAGAGGGCCTGAGGTGTCCTGGGGAGGAGGCAGGCTGGGTCAGCCTGGGCCATGAGGGTGGGAAAGGAAGAATTGGATAATGGAGGGTGAGGAGTTCAGCCCAACCTAGAGCTATTTTTCTAGACTTCCAGTACCCGAAAGAGGGTGTGAGGGTGGGGATGGTGGACCCTAGGGCTCCTCCAAGCAGAAACAGCCTCTGGCTAGAATCCCCATCCATACACCTTGGTCCATACACATTCAGTCCTTGACCCCCTAGTAACAAGGTCTCCTCTTCCTAAGCCTAAATAACCAGAAAACCTCCCCACCCCTGCACACAGCCACAGCCACTTCCCTGCCCCCAGCACTTGCATGGACGAGATCCCAGCTTTCTCCCACCTCTACCTGCAAGTCAACCTTTCCTCCAGCTAGGAGCTGGGCTACAGTCCACCTGTATTGGAATTGACAATATCTGTGGCTTGTCACCAACATAGGTGACAGGAAACCTCCCATCATATAAAGTCACTGCAAATGTCTCTACGGATTGTTTAGACTCATGGTCACCTGGAGATCAGGGCACTCTTCTGGCTGCCCCTAGAGCTTGGAATCTAATGGTTTAAAGAATCACATTTGGCATCAGAATCAACTGAGTATAATAAAGTAAAGCAAAATAAACAAATAAGCAAAAAATAAGCTGATAAGTAAGAATACATGATCTGATGAATATATCATCTTAGCAAAAAGCTTGGATTTATATCTACCTCAGGAAACACCTCCTCCCATCCCTCTTCTAGTTAAAAGGGAACTTGATGGAAAGTGGCTATGACGGAAACAGTATCTATGGCAGACACTTTTCACAATGTGTAACATATTCCCCAAATCGTCGTGAATGTTCCCTCATCTTCCATCTCAGCCCGTTTTACTGCTTTCTAGTCCTACTTCCCTGTTCTCCCTGCTCCTTGTTCATTTTCTCTTTTTAAAATTCTTTGTCTCTATTGCTAACTCTTCCTTTTCCTTTGGTTACTTTAGAGTTATTTTTTCTTCCCTCTAAGTAAAGTAAAGTAAAAAGTGCACATAGAGCCACTGCAAAGGGTGTTTTATGCTTTGTTGAAAAACCCTTATTTATGGCTACATTTGACTGAGTGATTTCCAGATTCCAAAGCAAAGGTACAGTCCTCCGTGTGCCTGTAGCCAACCTAATTCATAGTGGTTAGAAGTACTCATGGGTGAGAGCTCTGCCTGAAAATCTGGTTCTGTGTGTTTTTGCCACTTAATATTAAACAACTCTGATGGATGTTCTGAATCTATTTCTTGCCTGAATTCTGACTCCATTGTCTCAGTTATTTGCATGTTCTTTGGGCCACATGTCTGAACTCCAGATCACTTTTGTTTTTTGTTTTTTTTTTTTTTTTTTTTACATTTTGAGGTGATAGTTGTCATTGAATAGATGGAAGATGATAGAGAATTTAAAGTAGGTTTTTTTTAAAAAGAATCACATTTGGGACAATATCAAAATGTGTTGTAACATTTCAACACCTGCATATAAATGTAATTGTTTTTTTTATAACTTATTGTCTTTTTTGTTTTCATGATGGAAATTATGTTTTGTTTTATGCATTTAAAAATTTTTTTTGAGGGGGATGGGGGTACGTTCTAGAAAATTTGCACAACATGTGAGAGGCCCTCATTTTGATCATTAGCACAGGAATGGAGTGGTTGTATGGTGTGGGGGACTCATTTCCTCCTTCATTGGTTTCATTTTAGTGGAGCAGGAGAGGTGTAATAGTGACATATCCCAGTGGAGTACTGCTATAGTTTGAATCTGGTTGTTTCCCAAAAGGTCACATGTTAAAGGCTTGGTCCTCAGGATGCTGTTATTAGGATGTGGTTGGATCTTTATGAGGTGGGGCCTAGTGGGAGCACTTTTGGTTGTTGGGTGCATGTCCTTGAAGTGGCTAGTGGGACCTGGCTCCTCATGGCTCTCTCTTGCTTCTCGACCATGAGGTGAGTGGTTTKGCTCCAYCGTGTGCTCCTGGTGCCATATGCTSCTTCCCCATAGRCCTGTAAACAAMAGGCCCAAGTGATCATGGTGGAACCTCTGAGAGCATMAGCCAAAATAAGTCATTTCCCTTTATAAGTTAATTATCCCTGGTATTTTGGAATGGTGACAAAAACCTAGTTAGGAAACAAAGATCAGTCATATTTTTCTAGCAATAAGCACACTGTATTAGAGGAACTGGGGTGTGGCTCAGGGGTAGCGGGTCGTGTGCCTGCCAGGCATGTACAAAACCTTGGGCTTGATGTCTACTCACAAAACTGGTAGATTAGCATATGTTGTGGGGAGGAAAGGAGGGGGCTGTTGTAATTTCTTTTAGGATGATTGATGTAGACTTCCTCTTGAAGATGACCTCAGAGCACTGGGCGACATTGAGTAGAGATATCATATGCATAAAGCAGAGAGCAGTGGTTTTATCCCCTTCCTCACACACACTAGGGATTGAACCCAGGGTCTTCTACATACTGGGCAAGAGCTCTACCACTGAGCTAAATCCTCAGCATTTTATTTTTTCTTTGAGGTTGAATCTTGCTAAGTTGCCAAGGTTGACCTGGAACTTGCAGTTCTGCAGCCTCAGCCCTTCCTCAGCCTTTCATGTATACCAGGGTTCCTGGCTCTTTTTTCTGTCTTGATGTGGATCCGCTTCAGTTCTGTACCTGTCCGACTCAGGGCCAGCATTTTTTTCAAATATTTCTGTCCCACATAAGGTGCCCTCTTCTGTTCAGTGCAGGAGGTGGTTCTCCAGCTCCTACAATTTTGGTCCCTGTTGTTCACATCTTCAAGAGACAGACCATTCCTTTGTCTTCATGATAGAGAGTCCTCAGTTTAGGCAACTGGAAAGTGGGAAAGAGAGAAAGCCTTGCTTGCTGCTAGTAGCAGAGTCCATCTGAAAAATGAGACCTACCCTGCTGAACAGTGACTTGGCCACTAGATGGTGCACTCCATCTAGAGGAGAGAAAGACAGTGGGAGTGGGGAGGGAAGGTGGTCTGCTGAAATGAATGAAGTGTTACTTGTTTTCCGACAATGTGCTTTAAGGGTTGTAGGAGTACTTTAAAGAAAGTTAAGAGACGGGGGTTTAATCTGGACATTTGCAACATTTAATTGTACAAGGATCTTAGAAACCCTTAACGTTTTATAGCACTATCATCTTATTTCCTTAAGACTTCCGTGACTAGGAAGTAGAGTGTTATGATTGTTTGTAATGTGCACCCCCAAAGCAGGAATATTCAGAGTTGAAATCATTAGATTATGAGAGCTGTAACCTAATCAGTCTGTCTTAGTTTGAGTGGACTTATTGGGATGTGGCTGTAGGGATGTGGCAGTTGGGATGTGGCTGGAGAAGGTGAGTTACCGGGGGCTTGTCCTAGAAAGGTGCATCTTCCTTATGGACCCTTTCTCCCTCCCTCTCTTTCTCTCTCCCTGCTTCTTGATTCTGCCATGAGCTGAGCAGATTTCTTCTTCCCCCATGCTGTGCTGTGCCATCTTGGGCCAAGAACAGTGCAGTTGATTGTCTATACCAAGACCTCTAAAGCTGTGAGCCCCAATTAAACTTGTCCTTCTCTAAGTTGTTCTTGTCAGGTATTTTGGTCACAGCTATGCACAAGTGACTAAAAAGCCAAAAAAAAGTGCATATAAAACTGTGTCCAAGGAGCTGGGGTTGTGGCTTAGTGGTAGAGTGCTTGCCTAGCATGTGTGGGGCACTGGGTTTGATTCTCGGCACTGCATATAAATAAATGAATGAAATAAAGGCTCATCAACGTCCAAAAATATGAATACCACCACCACTCCCCTTAAAAAGTAAACTGTGTCCAAGCACTGTGTGTTTGTTGAGGAGATGCTCAGTACTTGGCACAGAGACAATGGGGTAAGTTGCCTTGAGGGCATCTCAGAAATTTGCAAGACCACATCCATTGCAGGTCAGGGAGGTAGAAGGAAACATTCTCTTGAGAAGAGATTATGGAGGTGCCCTGCTCACATGGGGTGGGGAGGTTTGGGGGTTGTTTCACCTTTCTGAGCCACACAGGCCCTCAGAGGCCATTGGAGCCATGATTCTATGGGCCCCAGTGTGAATTGGCAGGGGACCTTGGCATCATCCATCTGGTTCCGGTTCTGCAGGGGTGTAGGAGGTTAAAGTTCAGGGGTCATGGAAGCTTCAATTGAGATGTCAAAGGCAGGCCTGGGAGGCCAGGCAAAGTGCAGCAGGGTTGGAGTCCTCATGGACTGCCCTTAAGAGGGCCATGTGTGAACCTGTAGGTGAAGCCGAAGCTGAAATGGAGACCCCAAGAATTAAGAGATGCCAGTAACATGGGCAGCTGAGAAAAACTGCTGGGGGTGGAAGAGCAAGATTAAGGAGAGCCCCTGCATGTTGCAACCAAGGCCAGAGTCAGGGCTGCCCAAGCCCTTTGGAGAGAACATCTTGTAGCCATGTGTCCTAGATGCTGTATTTGGATGGGGACCAGTTTTCTCAGCTAGGTTTCTGTCTTGTTTTGTCCACGTTTCTCCTTTCTGTGCCCCTATTTCTTCCTTTTGGAATGAGAAGGTTTACTGTGTGCTACTGCATATTGGGTAGATATAATTTGTTTTTGATTTTCATAGGGGCTCAAAGACAAGGGTTTGCCTTGAGTCTCAGGAGAGACTTTGGACTTGGAATGAACTTTGGGCAATGGTGGAACTGTTGAGACTGTGGGACTCTTGGGAGAACTAAATGTTTGCATTGTGGGACAGACATGAGTTTTGGCAGCCGG